AATTATTACTTCCATAAAGACTCGCAGTATAATTATGCTTACTGAGCTCTTACCGTATGAAACAGTGAGAGGCTGTCGATACTTCAGACTTCCTCTTGTTGATCCATCCTTCCTGCCCTGCTGCTGGTACGTTGAATTCATACGCAAGGCCAGCAGGAACCACATTCAACTGAAGTGTACCCCACTCCATCATTCCTGCTTCAAGTTCATTGTCAGCCGAGCTTTTCAAGTGAAATCCTTCAGGCTGTGAAGGGTCATCTCCCTTCCTAGTTTACCATGGTTTACAGTTTGGCTCTTTTTGTTCCGGTCGTTGCCAAAAGCTGCAACAAAAACTCCAGAACTCTACACGTTTGTCACGGATAGCTTGAAGCGAACTGATGTTGAAAACGACGTGTTTGCTCCAACTCGACGTGAGTCTACTGACTACTGTCTAGCTTGCTACATTGTAGCAATGTAGCAATGTAGGTACCTACAAATTGTAGCCTAGGTACAAAGGTGACGCCGGGTCGAAGCTGTTGCGTGGCATGACCATGGTGATGCACCGAAAAGTCCTTCGCCAAAAAAGCACCATGAAAAGGCATGAGCACAGTACTCGTAGATCTACTCAGCAGCACGGACAAGCTACAACAGTACAACTACAAGCTCAGCTAGCTGCATGCACTGGTGTTGTCATAGTGCAGTGTCGTCCGCGAACTGGCTACACGAGGTTGTAGCATTTTCACAGGCAGTGGGCAGGTCAATGGTGTACGCCAGGAACAGAAGTGGTCCCAGGACCGAGCCCTGGGGCACTCCTGCTGGCATTGGTATGAAGGCGGATGTTGTGCCTTCAACCTGCACCCGCTGTCTGCGTCCTGTCAAGTAGGCTTCGAGCCAATTGTGAGCCTTGCCGTCGACACCATAGTGGCTCAGCTTTTTCAGCAAGCCTTGATGTACACGATCAAAGGCTTTACTGAGATCGAAGAAACACGTTACAACATGCTTCCCCGCATCCCTAGCTGTGGATATCTGGTGGACGATCCGTGCGAGTTGCAGTTCGGTCCCGTCTTGTTTCCTGAAGCCGGATTGGTTGGAGGGTAAGTGCAGTGCTACGTGATTGTACAGACGAGAGTGGACTATTTTTTCTTGTGTTTTTGATATTATACTGAGCAGGGAGATGGGTCTGTAGTTGGTAGGATGGGAGGGGTTGCCCGACTTGGGGATGGGTGTAATAGTTGCGTCTTTCCAATCCTGTGGTATTTCTCCGGTTCTGAAGGACAGATTGTAGAGACTAGTGAGAGATGGGGAGATTTCCTTTGCAGTTTCTTTCAGGAGCCGAGTTGGGATGTTGTCAAAGCCTGGGCTCTTGCCAGTGTCTAGACTGCATAGAAGCTTCTCGACCTCTTCCACTGTTGCTGCGATTGTATTTAGAGTATGACTGATGTCAGGGGTAGTGTTGATGTCTGGTGTAGTACAGGTGGTCTTGTCGATGGACTGTTGGCTTTGGGAGATAAAGAACGTGTTGAGAGCTGTTGCCTTCTCCATAGCCGTGGCTGCAGTGGAGTTGGTTGTCGATAGTGTGGGAATTGTTTGCTTAGGCGGTTTTTTCAGGTGCTTCAGTAGACGGTGGAGGTTTGTACCCGTTGACGTTGTTTGCTGGACAAAGTCGGACTTAGCCTGTCGCAAAAGAGCGGTTACTCGGTTACGCTGGGCTGTGTACAGTTTCCAATCTGAGTCTAGTTGGGTCGCCTTGTAGGTGCGGAACTGTTTGTGCTTTGTTTTGATCTGGCTGAGGAGATCCTTCGTCATCCAGGGACGAGTGGGCGTAGACTTTTTGCGGGACTTGCTTCTGGTCACTTGGCAGTGGTGCACGGCTAGTTTCAGTATCTGGTCTCTCCAGAAGTTCCAGAATGAGGTTACTGGCTGAGGGTCAGTGGGATGTGGATCGTACTGCAGATTGCAGGTAGCAAGAGCTTCACGCAGGGACGCAATGCGTTCCTCGCTCCACAACCAGTATGTGCTGGAGGTGCTTTGCTGTGTAGTACTGCTCTCATTTTTATTATTATCGGTATTATTGTTTCTGTGGGTGGTGTGCTGCTGGGGTCGTATGTTGCCTTGTATGACAACATGATCAGAGGCACTAGTTGACGAAGTAGTTGTGCAGTGGACATCCGTCTGAGTATCGTACTACGTGTAGCGCCAGGTCATGTTGCTGCTGGTGGTGGACTGGAGTTTTGCCAGAGAAAGAAGTAGTTCACGTTGAGTCAATGCAGTCATCACATGCTGCAGTGCAGTCACGACGGAGTGTCATAGGACACAGTCGAGGCAATACTATTAGGAACTGATACTGCCCTGTGCCATGCCTATGCCTGGAGCCTACACACAGGAACTCAAGTGTAGAGATCATGCGAAACTGTTTGCTGAAGAGCATAGCCTGGCATGCATATCACCAAGAGTACATGATCCCCAGTACATAACATAATTCTACTCTTGATGTTACATGTATGTGAGCTGCTGGTGTCGTCTCACGTAGTCCCGTGGCGAGCGTGAACCATGCGTTTGTGTTCACCGCCTTGTGAGCCGACGTGGCCATACGTGCACGAGTGCAGCATAACTGCTGCGTCTGGTTGAAGCACTTGTTCACGAGTTGTCTCACTTCCCTAGTCACTGTATCACAGTCTTTCATTATTATTTTCTAGCTGTAGGTACGTGAATAATTATTATAGTAAAAACTCACATTGCAACCACTGGACTTGCCACTGGACTTGCCACTGGACTTGCCACTGGACTTGCCACTGGACTTGCCACTGGACTTGCCACTGGACTTGCCACTGGACTTGCCACTGGACTTGCCACTGGAATTGCCACTGGACTTGCCACTGGACTTGCCACTGGACTTGCCACTGGAGCCCGGACCGTTCGTCCAGTGCTCGGAACATGCGTCCCCGGTTGGTAATCATGAACGAGAGTCAGGTTTAGGAAACACCCAACCTGAACGTGCTCTATCTCTACTCTTTGTTAGTCGTGAGTATATTGTGTGAACATGCAGCCAGTCATATTGCCACACTGATTAGGTGTCCTGTGTGGTGAAGTCTCCCGGCGGGGAGTATGACTCAACGCCTGCTATTCAACAGTGCAGTGAAGTCTGAATGCAATGCATGGGGCACTGGACCATTGGACCGCAAACACGTCCGACCACCCGATGACCGGCGTGTGCAGAACACAGCATATGTGTCTACTTGGTCGCAATCTGCTATCGTCTGCGGCTCCGACATTCATCTTGGAAGCTGTATTGGCTGGTATTGTAACAATGCATGATGTTGAACACCGGGTTGCTCATGACTGTGCTCAGTTTAATTAGGTACAGAGCTAGTACATAGTACTCCCTCTAAATAAATACCGTCCTGCTGTCATCTACTCGCATTCACTACCTACATGAGCCAGAGCGCGCTAAAACATGACCACGGCTTTTTTGGAAAAAGTCGAGAAATTCGCTCATTGATTTGAATTCCGCGGCAAAAATACGAAGTGCAGTGCAACGCGAGTCGCTGTTGTTGTTCTCCTCGGTCGACTGGACTGTTCCGGATGCATTTCTTTCTTGCAAGTAAGTTTATTTGTTTGAGTTTGTATTCCATGTTGCGCGGAGTCGCCTAAAACTGATCGTCATCGATGTACTGATGGACGAGCCTAGTAGTAGTAATGTACTGCGGAGCGGAAGAAGACGACATCCTCGCACTCCACGCGCAGGATAAAATATTTTGAGGATTCGGGTCGGAAACAGAAGGAAGACGATGATGGCTACAGCGACGAGTCATTTGAGGGCAACACTTTCATCGAGCGTAAAATAATTGATGCTGGGAGTCCCACGATTTGCAGTGACAAGGAATTCTAATCTGATGACAACCTGGCAAGCGATTGGCATCGACACTGACTTGGGAGGTGAGTCGGCCGGTGATTTGGCCAGAATGGACATCGCTGCACATGTCCGGGACAATGCCAGTATTTGTTGCAAGTGCAAAAACAATCAATTGACTCTGCTGCTCCCTCAACTTGCTCCAGTCGATAATTTGAGAACCCTTATGCGAAACATCGCTAGCACGAGCAGTAGGCAGCGAAAGCAGTACACTCTGAGGAGCGGAGAAAACCGTGTGCAGGTGGACTTTGGTGTGGGGAATACGAGTGAGACGTCGAGTATGTTGAGGAAGACTGTGTGCAGCAGTGTATACTGTATATCTGAAAGTACAGGTGGAGTGTGTGATGGAGAGGACGTGGAGTGCCAACTTCTTCGGCCATCTACAGATGTTGACCGTGTTTCGCTGGCGGTTCTCCAGTGGTGCTCGAACCAGGAGGTATTTCGGACACCCAGCTCAGCTGCCTATAGAAACTTTGGATGTGGCCGAGTACCTGTCAGCTCATGCTATACAACCCTAGACAGAGGAACTGACCCGGAAAGGATGAACCAAGGGACATCTCAACTGTGTGCAAAATGACAATCCCATTGCTGTACATAGAATTTCACCATTTCAACAGTGCTGCATATAATACCATTCTAGCAACACTTAGACATGTCAGATCAGTCCAAAACTTTCAGACAGCGAACATTAGGTGTGTTTGATCATTTTTGAACAAAAAACTGAAAATCGAATTTTTGGTCTGTGG